ATTATATATATATATATATATATATATATATATATATAGACAAATCACTATTAGTAATTTGTGGTTTCTCTCTGACAGGTTTTGAGAGCAATATGGTTACTTTAATTCTCTCCATTGGTCGCAGTCATTCAATTCGGCACCTTTCAATTGGACGCAATTTTGCCATGAAGTCTAGGTAAGTGCCTTGAAGTCTAGGTGTGAATTACTCATATTTTTTAAATGGTATGTGTGCTTATTTGGAGGTTAGATGTATGAGTGTTCAGAAAACCTGTTTGAAAACTATTACCATTTTGGAGGCACTAAAATTACACTTACATCACTAAAAGACATTTTTGATGCACCTTTCAGTCTATCCAGCCCATCCTCTCTCTCTCTCTCTCTCGCTCTCTCTCTCTCTCTACGTCATATCTACCCTGTTCCCCCTTTTTCTTTCATGCATATGATGCATATTTTAAATGCCACCTCTTTCTCTCAGAGCTCTTACAGATGTGTTACACCGCCTTGTACAGCTAATTCAAGAGGAGGAGTGTGTAAGTACATCATTTGTAATAATCAAAAATACTACACACACACACACACACACACACACTTCTCATAACTCCATTAGAATCATACTTTAGTCATATTCATAACCAGGCTCTCAAATGATATGAGAATTGCTGCAAAATAGGATCACTTCCCCCATGCACCACAGATACATACACCAGAAAGTACACCTACCGACCACAGCTCTCATATAACATTGAGAGTAGGAAGAGCTGCTGTCTTTGGCTCAGTTAACATTAAAGATTGGTATGTGTGCCTCTGTGTGTGTTTGCATCTGTAATACTAGAACCAATAAAGAGAGAAGGTCCACAGAGACGCCTCATTTCTCCAGCAAGCCTTGAGTTTTAATTACCCAAAATCCCTCTCTATCAAGGCACGCCCGGGCTCAGTAATTACACAAGCAGCTCTGACTCACATATAGGACTCATTAAAACAGACTCTCAACTTTATGTAACTTTATCCACATTAATAGGAGCATTTATGGTCTCCAAAGGATCAGTGCTGGCCTTTCACGACCCAAACTTCTCAGTAGAGAATGAGACTGAATGAGACTCAGACCTGGATAGAAATCTTAAAGGGGTCATATGATGCTTTTTTAAAGATCATTATTTTGTGTATTTGGTGTAACAGAATATGTTGACATGGTTTAATGTAAAAAAAAACACATTATTTTTAAAATACTGTACATTATTGTAGGTCCTATATGCCCCGTTTCTCTCAAACGCTTCGTTTTCTACAAAGTCCCTCCTTCCGACAAGCGCAGTCTGCTCTGATTGGCCAGCTGACCCAGTGCATTGTGATTGGCCGAACACCGCAAGCACTCGTCGGAAATGTAACTCCCCTTACCATAATCGCAAGCTTCATCTTTCAAAATAAATGTAAAGACAGAGCCCGAAAAGGGAACAGAGTCACATGACAGACACAGTGATGAAGCTGGTATGTGTTTGCAGTACACAAGCCACGGTTAAGACAGCTGACTCTACTGTGATGTGACCCTGTCTCTCTCTCTCACACACACTCAATGCGCAAAACTTCGCATTTGAACAGTCAATAGCAAATACTTAAACTAATAACAAAACAGTAGCTGATTCAGAAGCGCCAGATTGTCATAGCAAAGTCAGAATGGCCTCCTCTCCAAAGTTCACGAAAATGCCATAAAATGCATTGCTGTTCTGTTGTAAGCAATCTTAAAGATTCCTAAATGCATCTACTTTCTGAAGGCCAAATAAAGTGCTTTTGCTTTCGCCTAGAAACACACAGCGTCTCCCTGACATGCTGCTTCAACACTAACTGCGGTTACTGAAACCACGCCTTCTTTCTTTGCGTGCACATTTGGGCGACATTATGCAAATATTTCCACATAGTGAGGTAGATATGTGGGGGCATGTTAGAACGAGCCGTTTTAGGGGGCGTGGCAGAGTCATAACTTTGATAAAGAATATCTCTTTGGTTTTGAGACTTTACTCTTTGCAACTTCAGTGATCTTATCTATGCACAATCAGCTTGTAACACTCAAAAACAGAAAGGAAAACTTGAAATCGCATCATATGACCCCTTTAATGAGACTTATAGCCAAAGGTTAATGACTCCATGAAAATTACTCTAAATGTAAGATCAGTAGAACTTGATGAAGCAAATATAGCCCTTCAATATAACGACCGTTGTCTCATATGTGCATTTAGCATTGGAAAGTGACCTCTCTTTTTGTACACTTTTTAGCCACTGGAGTCTCTCTCTGTATGTGATTCAAAGTTGAAAACTGGTACCACCATCCTCATCAACAGCCTGGGCAGCAACGCCAGCCTGTTCAAGATTGATATCAGTGGAAACTGTATAGGTGACACTGGAGCAAAGATGCTAGCAAAGGCCCTCATGATCAACACCAAGCTAAAGTAATTTTCCCCACGTGGTGACTTATAACATTTATGTCAAGTTGAACATGTTCCTTGATCATTGTTCCTGTTAAACAGTCAGCATTTATACTTGAGTAGATGTTAAAGATGGGGTTAAAATGATGTTTGTCAGGAATCCTTTTTCCAGGGTCAACAAAACATGCCCTATTTGGCAAAATTGCAGTCACTGTCATTTCTTATGAAGGCTGTGCTTTGTTTTCTGACAGAACACTGGTTTGGGACCGAAACAGTGTGACTGCTGGAGGATTTATGGATGTGGCCAATGCCATGGAAAAGTGAGAGCACCCCACAGACAAACAGACTTGTTTCAATGACTTACATTTGTTAAAAAAAATTGTTTTCTATATGTGCTTTCAAACAGAAACGTGACACTACAGAGCATGTCCATTCCAATGAGTGATGTTCTTCAAGCGTACCGAAACACCCCAGAGAAGATGGACGAGGCTTTACAGAAAGTTAGTTCTTGTTTCCAGGACTGTAGAAAGCCATAAGTACAGACAATGATATCAAATGGACTCTTTTTGTTTGTGTATATGCAGATCCAGACTTTTTTACACAGGAACAATCAGAGACAGTGTAGAACAGGTGAGGATATGTGCCATCTGCAGCATGGACTGAAGACCACTCGCTCTGAACAGGTTTGTGTGGATATATAATTTTTCCTATATAATTATTATTGCTTATGATATAGTAGGCTGTAATACTACATGCTGAGGGTTCAGATCGTTATGAACAAGTCTCTGTTTCTCTCAGTTATTGCAGGACCTCTGTAAGAAACTACAGGAAAGTGTGCATCCTTTAACCTGCTACAATATACAAGAGGTGCAGTCGGACATCTTGCTTGCAGAGGAAGCGCTTCAACATGCAAAGACGGCCATTAGTGTATGAGATTACACATCTACGTGGTTTGCAATATTACAGATTTAAAACATGATTTTTTTACACTACGTTTCAAAAGTTTGGGATTGGAATGATTTTTGAATATTTTGGAAGTCTCTTAGGGCTGCATTTATTTGATCAGAAAAATAAAATAGTAATATTAGTGAATATTACTTGAATTAAAAATATTATTTTTTTTATATATTTTAAAATGTGATTTATTCCTCAGATGGCAAAGCTGAATTTTCAGCTGTGATGATTACAGTTGAAAAACAGATTCGTTGATGATTAAAGAAATCTAAAGAAGTTAGTTCAATTCTATTCAATTCAAGTTTATTTGTATAGCGCTTTTTACGATACAAATCGTTGCAAAGCAACTTTACAGCAAATTAGGTTTCTACAATATTTAGTAATAGCTTATCAGTGGTGACTGTCAGTTAATAAACATATGGCAGAAATGTACGGAAAAATGGCAAAAACAGAGAAACAAATAGAGACATAATTAGCTTAGCTGCTGTTTCAACCAAGCAAAATTGATTTGTTTAACCCAAACTAAAGAATAATAATGTGCATTTGATCAAATATAACTGCAGTACAAGATTATGAGATGCATTATTTGAATGCTTGGCCAAAGAGATGTGTCTTTAATCTAGATTTAAACAGAGAGAGTGTGTCTGAACCCCGAACGGTATCAGGAAGGCTATTCCAGAGTTTGGGAGCCAAATGCAAAAAAAGCTCTACCTCCTTTAGTGGACTTTGCTATCCTAGGTACTACCAAAAGCCATTAAGAACAGCATTTATTTGAAATATAAATCTTTTGTAACAGTATAAATGTCTTTCATTTCAATTTTGTCTACTTTAAGTTTTGATCAATTTGGGTTCTCAGTGAACAAAAGTATTAACATCTTTCAAAAAAATGTCAACCTCAAACTTTTTAACTGTAGTGTAAAAGTAATTCCTGTTATGCAGTACTATTTAAACTTTCAAAAAAAAAAATATATATATATATATATATATGCTTATAAACGTGTACACCAGAAATATGTGATCATTTATCTGATATATTAAAAGAAAACTGAGAATTAAGATTTACATCTTTTATGTTGAATATGCAACGTATAATATATTAAGACACATGTGATCAGGATAGAAAAATACACTATATGTATATGTGTTTATATATATATATATATATATATAGTTTTAAATTTCTATAATAATATAATGATGCTTTTAATATACTTGTGATGTTTGACATTTGGCCTTTCCCCGCAGTCTTTCGCAGGGCTTTATGAGTTGGGCAGAGCGCCCTCTAGTGGTCACATGCTGAAATGCATTCTCAATGATGCTGCTATTGCCTTGAGGAATGAGATCACTGAGGAAATCCAGGTGGAGTTTTGTCATGTGTTTTGGGTGTTTCTGTAGTGTCTGGTATGTGGTATGATCGAGAGTTGAGTATGTTTATTGCTTTAGTGGAAGTCACTGTAATTCGATGTCAGTACAAATCAGATTTTCTCTTGTGTTCTGCAGGAACTGGCAACGGCAATGCTGCAGTCTGCCCAGCTGACCTGCCCCAGAGTCGTCCAGAGGTCAAGTGTCAGTGAGCATCTGGCAGAATGTGTGGCCAAGAAGACACGTCAGGCTGCACACTTCATTCAAAACACAATGCAAGAGACAGAGAACAGCATCAGAAACAAGCTCAGGTGGGATGCACATACACATCACTATATAAACAATATTAGACTCTTAGTAAAAAAAATAGATTGTTTTTACTTTGTGCTCCCCTCTCTCACATTTTCTCAGTGAACTGAAACTGGCTGTCAGTGTCTCTCTGGTGGAAAGTATAATTGGTGAAGTTCTTCAGGATTTGTCAGTGGCTCAGGAAAAGCTGGTAAGTGTTGGCATTTATGAAATGTGTATATTGAGCACATGAGAATTGTGTGTGCATGTGTATGGCATGAAATATATATCACGCTTGCTTTCAGGACAAGCACATGAGGGAGTTTTCCCAGTCCACCAATATCAAGGCCAATGTTCCTCAGCTCAGAGTGATGGAGCATGAATTCCCTACAGATGATGTGAGGACAGAGCATGTCTGCTTGATTCTAGCTTTCTGATTCAACACTTACTCAGGACTTTTCCTTTGTTTTTATGTTGCACATACACTACAACTCAAAAGTAATATTTTTTTGAAAGAAATTAATACTTATTGTATAAGAATTGAATACTTAATACTTATACGAATGCATTAAATTGTTCAAAAGTTGCAGTGAAGGCTATTTTTCAAATAAATTCTGTTATTTTGAATTTCTATTAATCAAAGAATCCTAAAAAAAGTCACAATTTCTACAAAAATATTAAGCAGCACAGCTGTTTTCAGCATTGATAGTTATAAGAAATTTTCTTGAGCACCAAATCAGAATATAAGAATGATTTCAGAAGGATCATGTGACATTGAAGACTGGTGTGGCTTGTGTGGCTTGTGTGGCTTGTTGCTTTTATAAAATTGTATAATAGTATAAATACAATATAGTTCATATTAGACTAATCATAGACCGTTTACAGTTACCAAGCAAAATAACAGCATGGCCTAATAATATTTAGTGGGGTATAAATGTCTGAGACAGCTAATGAAAATTATTTAATTTGTATTTCTCTCAGACAAATTTCTAATTATATCATCAGGATAGTAATTTGAGTTAATTGATTAAATAATTGATTAAAAGTTAACACAAAGTGCATGATTTCTTAACATTTTGCTGAATAATCTACACCACTTTGTGTCATAATTTATGATCCATGTTCTCCAGTATGATTTGAGAATGATTAAAAGTGGAAGAACATCTGTATTAAGAAAACTTGTATTAAGAATCTATACAAAAAAATGGAAATTATTTTTTGTTGCAGCATTTCTGTTTCTGAAACTAATTTCCAGATTTAAAAAAAATCCCAGTTTTTAAAAGTGGTCTAAGGCATTTAGAGCCCACTTTTGCAGCCTGTAAGTGATGTGCGTTCTCATAATATCAATTATGGCTTCAACACAGCTTGTTTATTTTTCACAGAATTTATTGTTTTATAATTAGAGTTTGATAAAAAAAATTACAATTATTTTAGTAATCTAGAGCGTGAGTTAGATTGACAGTCACTTGTATGCATTTAAGTTTGATTTTCTCTCCACTTGTCCACAGTATGTCCCTGTAAACTGGAGAAACAGCTTCCACTCCCGTAGCATCCGTCCCGCCCCTTCCATCAAAAGTAAGTCCCTTGTGTCTTGATGCCGACAAGTGCTTCTTGCACAAGTCTCGCCCTTTGCCATTTGTCTTTGCCTTTGCACTCCTAAATCACATGTGATTGGATGTAGCATATACTGGTGACATCATAGCTGTGCATTACTTGAAATATGATTGGCTGTAACAAACCCTGGCACACACACCACAGCTGTTGAGGTCAGAGGTCATGTTCAGGTCTGTTTAATTATGCAGTCATCAAATATGGAGGGGTTAAAGTCTTGTCATTGCTCTTATCTGAACAAAGCCAGCATGATTTTTACAATCAATCAACTATATATGGTTATGCAAACCACATTCAACCACATCCTTTACTATAGCATGCACAAACTGATTTAATGACAACACATGTGTGTTTAACTTGTTCAAATGCGTGAGATTGTGTGTATGTGATGCAGTATGCACTGTAGTAGTGCTACAGTGTATGTGACTTCAAAAGCGTGCTTTGTTGTTTGAAGTCCTGTCTGCGAGAGCAGGATCCCCCTCTCATGGGACTTCCCCTCCCTGTCTAACTGGTCGTCTATCTGTGGTGTGTGTGTGAGTCTGAGACAGTGGGGGGATTGATTTTGGGAGGTCCCACCCTGTCTCTACTAAATATAATCAGCTGTGTAACACTGCTGGCAGCAGCTAACTGGAGCATAGCCCTGTTACTCTCACACCACTGAGCCCCTCAGACGAGGGAGGGGGCCACCCGCTTACAACCATGACAAAGCCCCTCCCCCGGTCCTCCACCCTCCTCTTCCTCTGCTCTTTGTGTATACCTGTCCTGTTATCTCTGCTCTTATCTTTCCTTTTTCTTGTTCCAGTCACATTTCAGCCCAAATCTTCGGATGAAGAAATTATAATTAATTTGCTTAAACAAAACAAAGCCTGTTCTTCAGACTATTTTTGTATTGTGACAATTTTTGTATTGTAATGCAAAGCACTGATTTTTTTTTAAATTTTTTTAATGAAATTAATACTTTTATTAAGCAAGGATGCAATAAATGGATCAAAATACATTCATAATGTTACATTCATAATGTTTCTTTTATACTTTCTTTTCATAAAAGAATTCTGGAAAAAAATCAATACAGTTTCCTATATTAGTCAGCCCAAACTGTTTTCAACATTGTTAAGAATAAGAAATGATTAACGGGAACCATTTCAGAATATTAAAGTGATTTCTGAAGAACAATTTGACGCTAATGACTGGAATACTGGTTACTGCATGGGTATAAATTGCATTTTAAAATATTTTATAGCAAAAACTTTTTTTAAATTGTAATAATTTAAATAATATTTTGCAACATTGTATTTTTGATCAAATAAATGCACCCTTTGGTGAGCATAAGAAACCACAGCTTAACTGTCATAAAAATAATGTCACCGTGCAAAAATCTGAATCCTCTTTAATTAGGCTTGATTTCCCGTATCTAAAATATAATCATAAATAAATTAGACCGTATATTTATTGATTTTGGGGTAAAACATGATATGACATTCTAGGCGTGTTTTTGTGAGATTCCCTGGGTGTCTCCATCCATCATGTGGATATCCTGAACCCTCCGTCATGTCCAGCTTTATCTTCCTCTTTCCCTTTCCTTCCCTTTTTCACTGATCTTTCATTCCCCCCCTCGTATCCTCTGCTGCATATCTGCATATTCATCGTTCCCTCCTTCTCTCTCGATCTATTTCCTCCTCTCCATGTAGATACACACATCATACAGGCTTCAGTCTCTCCCTCTGTTGTCCCTTATTTCCTTCCTCCCTCTTTCTCTCTGCAGGTTTGTTAGATGTGGAAGGGGAACAGCAGGCGCG